TCTACGATGGTTTTGCTTATTAGACCTGGGGGAGTGTCATGTTAGCGTGTCAAGGTTCGTGGCCCTTGAGTGGCACAAAAATTTATTGTCACCGGCTTCGTTTTGACGATAGCTCTTGCAAGAACACAAAACCGTTTCTAAGAAGTACCAGCAAATGATAAATTATACTGAAGTAGCGATACAATATCATGCGATATAAATATACAAAAACTAGCCACTCTACAATGTAATATGAGTACTGAGCATCATAAGTACTGCAATTATTTTATTTTTTTTGTTAAATTCAGGTTGTCTTATTAACAGCTACGGTCATTAACGCACGTGCCTCAATATGTGCAATGAATACAAATTTGTGGTTTATGTGCCGGCTGCAGGGTATGCATGTGCATATGCCTCTTATTGATAGCGCGGATCTGATGCCGACTTCAAGTGCTAACCTTACAGAAAAACACATTATGCTGACAACGTTTTAAAATGTTGTGGTGCTTTCCCTAAATGCTGAACGTTAAACAGGGATTTATAACTACCAGTTTAACGGATTGGTTTGTTTTGATTTAGTTAAACGTCCTATTAATTTAAGGTCGTTCTTCCATATGTGTTGTGTGTGCGTACATGTGTGTATGTGTGCCGAAGACAGGGTATGTTGAGAGAGTGTTGTCCATGTGTGTATGTGTGCCGAAGACAGGGTATGTTGAGTGAGTGTTGTACATGTACAATGTACTGAAGCACTTTTGGATGTACTAACATTTGACTTGTGTACAAAACAAATACATTTATAATACAAAACCGTCTTTGTGGGTACTAGTAGATTCTGTTGTTGCCATACAGTTTATAGTACATGTACCAATTAAATTTAAAAACAGACTGTAGGACAGTTGACATTGAGTTCTGAACAGAAGTATTAATACAGTATACCAACAAAATACTGGAGTTTGAGTATTGATTAGAAGGTATGGTTTTATTTTGTTTAACATCCTATTAACAGCTAAGGTCATTTAAGGACGTGCTTCCATATGTGTTGTTTAAGCGTGCTTGCGTGTGTGTATGCAGGATACAGGGTATGTTGGTGTGCTTGCCTCTTTGTGATGGCGCGGATCTGGTGCTAACTTTATAGTGCTATCTCACTGAAATGTCATGCCGAAGGTACCAACCACAGCATTCCGCCCGGTCACATTATACTGGCAACGGGTGATTAGAATGTACAAAATAACCAATTTGAGGGATGAGCTATGCAAATACCCTATATAACCAACTATCCTATTTGCGGAATAATTGGTGACTACCATACGAAGAAGATTTTACTCATTTGAAAATTGGAATCCGTGAAAAGCAAATCCGTTTCCGATTCGTTGAAATTCCAACAAGTAATGAAGTAGATTGTATCGCAGTACACGGTGATACATCAAGGTCTCACGATCGCTCTTACCTCTTTAATAATACAATTTTGTTAATATTTCATACGTAACATAATGGTAAAGAAATAATCAAGTTTGATACACTCCAAGATATATTGGTAAGATTAAATAACATTCCTCAATGATTCGTGATATACCTGTTTTTTTATTTATTTCAACAGTACATGTACCCCAGGGATATTCTCAACCGACTTTTAATGGGGAAACAACCAAAACACCTGCTGCAATCATTTCCACACTGAATAGTGTTTTTGTTTGTTTTTCTCCTTTACATCTCTGTCCCCCCCCCCCCCTAACACCTTACAAATGTACATGTTAATGCCTCAATTTAGGTTTTATATAAAGTTTTATTAAGGTTATGATATTGTATGAAGTTTTATCGGTTATGTCCCCTTAACGAGACTAGTACTGGAGACTCTGCTTGGCGTTAAATCTTTTGGTGGCGGTAAGCCTGGGAAAGATTGTCCGTGTTGCTCCTGTGTCCAGATGTGGCTTTCACAGTGTGGTGGCACAGTAAATTAGCTTTGAAAGCTCCACCGTCTTGGACAGTCTTATATGATCTTAGCTGTTGCTGAAGGGCTTTAAATCTTTACAACACCAACCAGTTATATCAGTACCGTTACAAGCTTAAAATTCTCGTTTCAACCTGACTGAAATACATGGCTATTACTTAAATCAAAAGTTCAGTCATATAATACTGTGCAATAGTGTTATTTCAATGTTGTGTCTTTAACAGATGCTATTATTTAAACAAAGACTGTTTGTCCGTGTGGTGAATATTAAACATTCAACTATCTCATCAATTTGCATGATTTAATGTCCACAAAACAGTTTCAAAATACAATAGTTTAAACCAAAATAACCTTTTCAATATTGAAATCCATTTTATATATGCATGATAATGCAACTTTGATATGTACATGTACAGAGTTTATACAACGAGCATTGCTCTCTTTGATTATTTCTATCCCCAGGCATCTCGCTCCTAAGCCCTTGCTTTATAGAAGAACTGCTCTACGCGTATAGCATACGATATTAAGCGAATACGCGGATATTCGTGACGAGAAAGTTAATATACGAGAAAGTTTGATTCCGAGATGATGCTAACATGTTTAACATCTCAATTGCCGTTATATAAAAATTGATGGAAAATGTAAAGTTTATGATTGATAACAAACCGAAAGCCACAAAAGGTTACAAACTTCGGGCACGTGTATGGTACATCTAGTTGATTATTACTAGTGTATAATGTACATGTACACACCACAACTTTGGGCGAAATGTTCTATGTAATTTGAAAGAGACTGACATTCCAAGCAAGTAACCAATTAGTACCAGCATGGTAGTATTTATCGTGAATGTCAAGTAACTCAATTGTTTAATACAGAACATCCAGTTTTGCTGCTTTACGTTTCAAACATGTAGAACTCTGGGTTTTAGGAGAGTGACAAAGCCGATCATCACTTCCCTACCATTTTCTCTAACTATGAGGTCATCCCAATAGGGACTCGTTGACAGAACTTTAATGTTTTCCATTCAATTTACGGTTTAATTAGATCGGAGACACCGGAATAAAATTTATCAGATCCAATCATATATATATGATAAATTCCATATGTGTAATGAGATATCCGATTTCGTCAAATTCATTGGCAAAATGAACTGCACAAATAAAGATGCTGATCGACTTTTGAATATTAAATACGCCATTCAGGACAAAATGTATCCATCAAAGCCACTGTATTTTTAACTCGAAACAGTAAAATTTTTACTATGTATTACTGTGAATAATTAATCTTAAATCATACACTCGCTTGAAATAATCAAGATCACACAACAACTGTCTTTAGTATACATGAAGTTGTTCATGCGATTCCAATAAATAAAATGCTACAAACAGTGTTCATAGTACAAACGTGATCCCGACGGTGTAAACATAAACACATGTTCGGTTTGGTTATACTTGTATACTGTTTAACATCCTACATGTATTAACAGCTTAGGACATTTAAGGGCGTGCCACCATGAGTGTTATAAATGCGTGTATATACATGCATGTGTCTTGGAGGCAGGGTATGCTGTTGTAATTATCCCCTTTCGATAGCGCAGATCTGATGCGGACTTAATAGTGCTGTCCCACTGAAATACCATGCCGAAGGTAACAATCGTAGCATTCTGCTCGGTCACATTATACAAAAAGGTTATGATAACGAGTGAATAAGTCGTTGTCATCATCCTAAATGCTGAACGTTAAGCAGAGAACATTTTAGGTGTCTACTTATAGTAACATCAATGGCTTTACGTTTATTATCTGGAAATAGATATATTCTAGAGATTTTTTAGTCAAGTTATACACCTTCAGTAACAGTCTGTCAATACAGACCCGCGCGGTAGAAATTGTATGTATATAGGTGGATCACCTCATCTCAGAATGACATTAAATGCTGAAATAATTCTTAATCATTGTAAGTATGTCAGCAATATTTTCGTATTCTCAACAGATGCATTGACATACGTGTTCACAGATCGAGAGGCACTCGAGGGTTGTTTTAGCTTTCTGCTGAATTGTCATAGCTTTAACATAGCATGAACTTACACACAATTACACCATCTCTTTAGTTATCACATGAAGATCCTAGTGAACAAACCAAGTACAGCAGTTACACATCTAATATATATTATTGTATTGTAAGTTCTTTTACAAAATAACCCTCAGTGTGTCGTTTCACATATGATGTTTGGAAGAGGAACCCGTATAAACTGCATGCTGTAGCACGACTTTTACACATATGCATTGATTCATCGTAATGCCTACTGAATTGCAATGCATTTATCTAACAAATTAGAAAAACAACTTCAATTACATATACAACCTGAAATTGTATGCCCTAATTCAACATACATTATTTCAGTATTTCTCGTAACAGTATTGATTGAGTTATAGAATTGGTACGGTCGACAAACGATCTTTGAATAAATACATTGTACCAAACAAATCAGGCACTTTCTCTCGCTGTCAGAGAATGTGCCCTAGGAAGTGATACATGTACATTTGTTTGCGGCTGTTTCACCAGTAAATTTGTAGATCTGTATTCACAACCAAACTTTCTCATTTCCTTTTCCTTTTACTGTCTTGCCGTAATGCTTCTACATGACATACTTGGTACCTTACAGTGTATCGTGACGTTACTAATAATTCAATCTTAGTTACATTTTGTATGTCAACATAATGATTTAATGTCATCACTTTGTCCCGATATGACATAAACCAGAACTAAATCATCGGTCAGACCACAGTTATATAATATAATATGTTAACTAATTAACATATTTCGTATGTAAAATTCGGGGTTTCAAATAGTTTGATTTATCAAATTCCAAAAACGATGGCGCTTTTTTAACCTCGCTTTTGCATGAAAATTCAAACCTGACCGCACTTGACGGTCTTTCCACAAATATAGTTCTGTCCAAAGGTATCAATCAAATGACATGTGATTGTAGATGTGCCATCATATAGAAGCTTTCGCTTTTGGTTTTACAGCAAATCAAACAAAAACTCCTATTGATAACAAACGTGATACTTACACCGAAATAAGACGAGTTCGGGTTGTACCGTAAGCGTCGAGAAATATTCCAAGTGGTAAGAGTAGTCCATGTCGAATTATCATAACGATAGCATTCCCCATCTCCAGCCTTTCTTCCTGTTCATCACAGAAATATCTCGAGTCATTGAGAGGAAATGGATCATATAACTCATACATCGGTTCCGGTGGTGGTGTTGTGGTCCGATGCTTTTTTCTCGGGCGGCACTTCCGGCGAGGCTTGTTTTTGTTTATATTTGTTCTTATCACTGGTGTGTCTAGTTCAGTAAGCATATCTGTATTTAAAACAGTGTTTGGTATAATTTCTGGCACCTCATCTTCTAGTGTTATATTACATAGATCTAAAAAGTAGCGGTCTCGACGAAGTGTAACAGAAAGCCATGACCATCCAAAAACAATCCCGGTAAAGAACAGGCATTCCATAATTGCCCAAATCAGTGTCAAATGACGCTTGTTGAATGAACAATTCACCATTTTGATTCTACTTGAAAAAAGTTAATAGGAACGCATGAAAAGCACAAAAACGTCAGCTTCTAATATAACTTAACATGCTATTTGATGAAAACTGATATCACAATCCACTAATCCTACAGCACATTTGTTCTAAATTTGAGTATCAGTTTGAAATGTGAAAAAACCCCGTAATGACATAAAGACCGAATAACTTCACGCCAGATTGGAAATCTACGGGGACCTCAACCTTCTATTAAACGTAATAGAGCTCCTGTAACTCGCCGGTATTTGCTAATCACAATCCGGTCCCGACCGCGCGTAACAGAGATCTGGATTGCTGTAGTGTGTGGCCGCTGCTGTCTATTGTCTATGTCGTTGTGATTCGATTGATATTTGCGTTGTGTCTAATAGACACTCTGACGGGCGTATGGTCACTAACCGCCACACAAGAACACAGAGGAGTGACCAATGCACCACGCCTAATGCTGTTTACGCGTGTGTAAAGGTAAAACCTTGTGCTTTTAAAATAATATCGACATGTTCCGGGCGCGTACCATGGTTAATTAATCTGGGAAATGTGACGATAACAGAATCGTGTTCTTAGGAAGAAAGAAAAAACATTATTGTTAAGTTGTAGGAATTAAGTATAAAGTATATAAACATTATCCGCTGTAGGTTAAAACCGAAAGCATCCATTTGTATACAAGGTGCTTCATTTTGATTCAAATGATTAACATCTTTATAATTAGCATGCCTGGTTTCCGAACAAGCAACGGAATAGGCCTTCAGTTTTCAATGTACAGTAGAAAAGCAGCCTTTTGTTTTAGTCATTATAACGAGAATATATACAGCGGGATGAGAGCAAGCAAGGGATTATGTTTCCCTGGGGCATATTGTCACCTGTCCATAAGTTGACGTCCTGGTCTTTTATCACTGTTCCACTTCCTGCAGGTCAGGTATTAAGAAGTTACCTGCTGTTGCCAACTGCAAGTTATAGGAAGCGATCAATTGGGAAGCCCTTGCAGAACATTGGAGGTTTGCTTTTATGTTTTTTACACGGGGATACAAAAGTTTCGTTTTAAATTTCAAAAGTAATCCATAATGATTTTATAATTGTGTAATGAGTCGTTTAATACGCTCAATTGAGCACTTATCAGAAAATGTGCAGATTTGCTGCCATGATTAACTTCCTGCAGACCCGGAAATGCTGAAAAGACCATGGTGAGTTACACTCTGCTCGGAAGTTTGATTGTTTTGTCAAAGGTGAGTGACTTACGGGTATTACCTTTTCGTGGAAAAGTTACTAAAGATACGTGGCGACAATATCTTTTTAACAAGTGTTCCAAACACTTGGAAATCCTTTGTCTTTCAAATATTATTGAAGTTACCTTATTCAGTAAAATTTCGTTTTATTTGTTAAACGTCCTATCAACAGCTAACGTCATTTAAGGACGTGACTCCATGTGCGTTCTGCATGTGTGTATGTGTGCCGGAGACAGGGTATGTTGGTGTACTTGCCTCCTGTGATAGCGCTATCTCCCTGAAATACCATTCCTAAGGCACCCAGCACATCATTTCGGCCGGTCACATTATAGTGACAACGGGTGAACCAATTGTTGTCATTACCCTTAATGCTGAATGTTAAGCAGTGAATTACAACTACCACTTTTAGGGATTTCGGTATGTCCCAGTCTGGGAACATAACCCATTGCCTTCCTCACCTGGGCAAAGGTTTAACATTGAAGCAAAAAGTGAGGGTTTGCAAAGCAAGGCTCTAGGAAAAAAAGGCTGTTAGAACTAGAAAGAAATATAAAGAAAATATTGTAATGGGTGCATCAGATTTATTTTGGTCGCTTTTTGTCACGATATAGAGGGCAAATCTATAATTCTGCAGGGGATGCGTACATTTACTCGCCTCTTACGAAACGTGCAGCGAGTAGCAGCACCTGCAGAGGTGTGTACCTTGGACAATGAAATTATTGGCTTTAAAGCTATCAATAGGTTTTGTTTCTTCAGACTATGAACTTGTCAAATTCTTTCTGATAAAAAAAATGGCCATAGGAAGAGAGTTATAAATACTCTTGCTGTAGGATAATTGTTGCTATGTTGGCCCACTCAAGTCTCATTAAAAAAATTCAGACATGACCCGAGATCCAAATAAAGAAAAATTGACAGAACATTAAAAGTCTGTAGGTGCGGAGATTAATCTGTGTTAGAGATCTCGTAAGTTCCGTGTTATTGTACTGTTATACTTACAATGAGGCCGTGGAGATTATTGCTCTTTTCTTCGTTTCATCGAAAGCCAGACAGCTTTTTATTGCATGTGCTTCACCAGTGAAGAGAGCGGTCCGTTAGGATATTGCCAGATATTATCGGGGAAAAGTATCGTGTATATTTCGGAGAATATTGGAAATCTTGTTAATGTGAAATAATAAATTAACATCTGTCTTCCAAATTGAAAAAGATTTACTGGCATTCTCAATATCAGACTGGTATAAATCCGAATTTTCCATTACTTTTGAAATCGAATACCAACAGATGGATCTATTTCAGATTTGATTCTAAAAGGCGAGCACAGATTTGATGAAATACCGACTGAAAACTAGGTTTTCTGGATTCGATTTCACCTGATAGGAAGAAAAGAGATAATTTTGTTTTTCGAATAAAAGTATGTTGGTTCATTTGCTTCAATACGAATGCTCAGGTTTGGTGATGTGCTAAACGAACCACCCAAAAACGTACAATGCTACGGATAAATCTAAGCAAGCATTTTCCAATACGATTTGCAAGCTAAACGATATAATATTGAAATCACGGTCTGATCCCCAAGGTTGTTAGTAGAAAGACTTTATAATATGAAGGGATTTTAAACATTTTAGATAATTTATTTATCGGGTTAAGTTGGAGGAGGTATGCTAGTGTATTAGTCTTTTGCACTACTTTTTTCTGTAACAATATATTGTGAAAAATCTGGAAATAATTTGATTCACAAAAAAGTGCTACCTCACTGAAATACCATGTACCCAATGTAACACNAACAAAACCCCTCCCAATTTTCTGCTTGGACCCCTCTTTCTTGGTGATGTGCAGTCGGATATATATTAATTTGTATGTAGTTTATCTGTTGCAAACAGTAGGTACAGTTTATTTACACAGAGGGTCACTGCATGCCCTTTGGATATCTTCTTCTGCTTTTCCGATTGTTTTTATTAGAGACAGAATATGATTCAGCTCTACCTTGTGAGGTTACATTACATGTTATAGTATACAATGTCTAAGCCGGATGGGACTTGAGTACTTGAAGAAGCCCACTTCATCATTAACGATGAACTGTCATCAGATGCTGTCTTTTATCATGAGATAATGGCAGCACCAATCGCCGGTCGGGCAGGTGCTCTGTGTCAGTGTATGTGGCTATTCCTTTTATCTTCCATTCTCAACTACCAATAGACAGATATTTAAGAGCCGATTAGTATTTAAAAACTCCAATATTCAGAACAATATAAGCGATTGGCGACGTCGTGATGCTACAATAGGTATTGATTTTTTTCTTTCGATAAAGGTTTAGATTTTTTCCATGAAATCACTACTGCTGGATATTCTATTTGCGCATTCTGTCTTGAGAATTTGAAACTCATTGTTAAAATAAAATGTTTAACGTCCTATTCACAGCTATGGTCATTTAAGGAAGTATTTACATGTATGCATGCTTGTGCGTAGCTTTGCTGGAGGCAAGGTATATTTGTAATATTTGTTTCAAATCTCACGGGGAAAACCCTGTGCTGGGTGCCTTCGGCATGTTGCTTTCAGTTGGCATCATATCTACTCTATCTCAAGGAGGAAAATACACCAACATACCACCTCCAGCAATTATACATACATGCATACGTATATAAACACTATACATCAAAGGCACTTCCTGAAATGTAGATAGGACGCCAAGCCCAATAAAGCAAACCAAAATTTAATAAAATCTAGAAAATGCCCGTAAGACATAAATGCCCCCCACCCCCCGTTACTATTAGTTTCAGTGTTTGATTTTCTATAAATAGTGACAACCACTTTGTTCACGGGACGGACATAGGCAACACTATATAGGCCCCCCTCCCCCGTTTTATGAGGGGGGCATAAACCAATCACTGTGACGTTCACTGTACTTAAACAAGTCCAAGGGTGGGGTCAACATTTGACCCCCACTTTGATTTCTTTTATTGTTATAATATGTACATACATAAAAACGATCGATAACTGCCTACATGATTATTTATAATTACTACTGATAACCGTAATGGAATTCTTGCACAACACCAGGTTGAGTGATGGGGTATCCTAACAAACATGATACATGTCACAGGCGAATACAATTTTGAAAATTATTTATGATAGCGTGCTGTGTATAAATTTACTGTTATTTTTATAACAAACATGTCATCTTGGTATACATGAAGTAAGCTTAGTGGTACTTTTAATAAGAAAAACATGCAACATTTTCACAAAATTTAGAATATAACCGACACTGTCAAATTGCCTATACATTATTTGTATATATGTATATAGTCTATATGTTAAACTTCTTACAAAACTTTCCATATATATATTGTCCGTCTACAGAATCAATTTTATGTATTATCAAAACCAGTTAAGTACTTTTTAGCATGCCAAACATGATCAACGTCCAATTCCACAGAATCATAGAGATTTGGTTATCAATGTTTATTATGGTAAGTACAGTTGTGTGACCGCACAACGCACAAAACATGGCGTGCGCACACCGTGCATACATCGTTCACACATGGTCCGCACAACTGTGCGATTTAACAATCGTTCGCCCCGTTGTGCGCTTCTCTCCACATAACTGTGCGATTGGGTACAACTTGTTGATCAATATTACGGAATGAAACAAATACGGAAAGCTCGTATGCAATATGTATTACAGTAATTTATCATCACAGTCATGAAAATTATGTACAGTTTTACAATGCGTGTTACACAGCATTGCAATGACCATTAGACTGTCAAGAATGGGTTTTGCTCCAAGGTAACAGAACAGGTAAATAACAATTTGATGAGTGACCAGAGTTTTACCTGGCGCCCTGTGCCTGACACAGAGAGCCGATAATACAACTGGGCGTTTAGTATTTCTTATTTGCATTCGGTTTGCCTATAGCACCCCTTCACCTGTGTTTTCATACCCCTTGCCCTACCCGACGAAATACGTAAGCGCCCCGGGCGGGGGAAAACTACGGTCCAGATACATGTACAA